TGATTAGTCTATTTTTTTCTAATTTGCATAATAAATTTTTCAAACATCTTTGTCTATTTAAAAAAAAGTGCGTAAGTTATGGAGATGGTAACAATCAAAAATCGATTATAAATTTAATTCTCCTTTTATTAGACAAAAAATAAACACTCTTGGCCCACGGCCCATTTTTGACACCATGACCAGGCGTAATAGTAACCTGTAGTGTATATATACAAAGAATTTTTTCTAGTAAGATCAGAGTTGACTAACTGGTACTTGGTGTGGTGCTAGGTTTATCGCATTTATGATTTAGGGGCCGCGGTTTACCTCCCTCCGTTTAGTCATGCTGGATCAGGAGTAGTAAACTCGGCGATCGTGGGTTCGATTCCCACACGGGGCAAGTTTTTTTTTTATTTATTTATTTATTTATTTATTTTTTAAGGTCGCGGGTTCGATTCCCACACGAGTCAGTTTTTTTTTATTTTTTTTTTTAAGGCAGCTTAGTTGATGGTATATAATGACTAGCAAACATGGAGGTTGTGTGTTCGATTCCCACACGAACCGATTTTTTTTAATTTAAGGCAGTTTAGTTGATGGTGGATAATGAATGTACAGTATTGTACTCGTTGATGACGTCGCGAAATAACAACAAACAACAACGTGTCATGTCCGAGCCTAGGCCGTCATGGAAGCTCCCTGGCTCCTGTGTAATTCATGTTGAGCCAATTGCAGACGAAAAGGTTACAATCTTTTCAGAGATAAGCCGGAAGAAAATTGTAGACAGTGCTCATGAATGGAAGGACTTTAATACTGAGGAATGGAAGTTAGCGAAGTCCTTGGCTTGCTTAACCGTTTTTCTTCGATCGTCGCTTCAACCGTCTAGGCGCGTCTAGCCTTAAAGAGGGCATACATAGCAAGTCGAGATCCATGAAAAGTCGTATATAAAGATGTGGGCACTTTCACACATATACCTATATCCTCCCCCAACCCCTAACCAAAACTTCTGGATCCGCCCCTGAACATACTGCTGTTACCTCTTCTAGATTCCCCCCACCGTTGTATTTAGGTACGGTACACCATGGCTGTAAATTGTGATTGTTACAGCATGCACGCAAAGATCATACGCGGCGGATATCCTACGCGGTGGATACCCTACGCGGCGCTATTTACACGATCTTTTGTTACTTTTTCGCCAGTGACGTCATGGTAAAATCGTATATAATCGCCTATAACTTCATAAAAAAAATAGCCAATAAACGTTTTTAAGGTTGACTATATTATTAATGGCATATCAAAAATCCACTCTAGAACAAAAAATCATTTTGTTAGTTCCCTTTTAAGCTTCTGTATAAGATAGTGTAATATTTTTTTGCTTTTTGCTTATACAGTAGGCACACACTTCTTGTACTGTAACTTATTTGAAAATGATGATTTGTGTTGTTTGTTACCATTAGTTCTTTCCTGGGATCACTCAAAATGTATACTTCTAAAACATGTAAATATGCATCAGTACACGTTTATACATAGGCCTAATAGAACACATAGGCCTAAGCGTGATTTAAGAAAATCTTAAATCCATAAATTTCAGGCCAGGTCTTTCAAGATAGAAATGCGATACTGTGGTTCAAATTCGTTTTTATCCTTTTCCAAGTTTCTTTAAATTTTTGTTTAATAATACTACTACTAATAGTAATAATAATCATAATAACAATGATGATGATGACGATAGTAATAATTGATAATAATATTAATAGCAATAAAAAATGAAGAAAATTGTGCTAAATGCGAAAAAAAGCTGTGATTTGTTGATCATAATATAGTATAGTTAAAGCTTAGTAAGCTATAGTTAGGCCTAAGTTGTCCTGGATATTAAGTAGATCCCTGATAAAAGATTATGAGAAATTTGTTGGCGTTTCATTTTGACTATAATGGTGATGTGATGATGATGAATTTTACTATATAAAAGTGTCATTTCCGGCCATCTCGAGAGGTACAATTTCCTCACCTCAGTCCCAGCCATGGTGGGGCTGAGGTGGTTGTGAAATAAAGTTTTTGAAGTAGCCTATGTAAAGTACATACTCAAAGACAATGTTTTTAAGCTTTGTTTTCTGTGGTATATCTCACACACATTAATAGATCTCTATGGTTGTCAAAAATCCCTGATAAAAGATCATGAGAATTTTTTTGGCGCTTCATTTTGACTAATGGTGATGTGACGATGATGAATTTTACTAAAAGTGTCATTTCTGGCCATAGAGGTATATTCCTCAAATTTTCTGACCTCAGCTCCAAACATGAGGGGGCTGAGGTGGGTGTCGACTCACAAAATGCCCTCCCCCTCCACCTTTCAAAACAAATCTGTGCCCTTCCCTGGGCATGACATTAAACTCCATCGAGTCGGCTCCTGATGTATGTCTTAGTGACTGCTGTTTGTTTTTAGGATGTGACATGATCTGGTTTTTCATGTCCATTTTTCGTGATTATAACTGTTCTGGGTAAAGAATGTTTTGAGCAGAGGTGGAATCAAGGCCCCCACCCCCTTTCATTTTTTAAGGGAAAAAAAAAGAAAAATATATTCAAATTGAACTGCGAGAGTGTAATTTCCGGCCGTCTAGAGATGCCCTAATCATAAATTTTCTTACCTCAGCCCCAACCATGGTGGGGCTGAGGTGGGTGGTTCCTCGGTCTGTGAATGTCCCTCCCTGGTTCACTTCTCTTTCGAATTCCTGGATCTGCCACTGTTGA